GAAGGCGTGATTGCCGAAATCACCAAGCTGGCAGCTGATGCGCCTGAGCCAAAGAGAAAACACTCTCTTACCGAGCAAGAGGTCAAGGAGGAAACGAACCAAGCTAGCCGTGGGGAATCTCTTACCGGTGTCTCTGGCCGTCCCTCTGCACCTGACCAAGGTGTCGCCGACAAAGAACACCCAAAAACCTTGGAAGAGGACGAAGCAGATGACGAGGATGTTGAACACTCCGAACATGAATCTGGGGCTGAAGAGGGCGGTGAAGAACTCGATGAAGATGAGCCGGAAGATACAGAGAACGATGAGAACGACGAGAACGATGATGGAAATGAGAACGAGGTCAAGGACGACGATCAATCACCCGTCAGCTCCGAAGGAGAGACCATGTCACTGGACGGACCCCCGCGATACCTTTCGGATTTCCCCACAAACACGTACAAGTCGAGCATCCGGCAGGCTGCAAAGAAGTTCTTGGAGATGTATGAGACCGAAAAGCAGGGCAAAGCCATGAAGAAAAAGGCCAGCAAGATTCTAGCCAGCCTATCAGATCTTGCAACCGAGATCGAAGAGTTTTATCTCTGCCGTAAACCGGGTGGCCCGGTCATGGAGCACGGAACATCTCTTTTTCAAAAGCTGGTCTCGTATTTCGATACAGACGTCCTGGAGAGCGTAACCAGTGCGGAACTCCTTGGCTCTGGTGTTGTTCGTGTCTTGGAGCAGGTTTTCAGCAACCCCGACGAGGAGATGGCAGCTGCAGCACAAAATGCGTTCTTGCAGGTGTTCATGGGATACAGTGTCAAGTCGAAGCCCAAGACAGCCACCGCAGACTCACCCGCAACACCTTTCAGTGTCTTGATCCACAAGTCGCAAGATTTACTGAGCAGGTCTGAGCATTTTGAGGTTATCACAGCTCACCACAACTCATTCGACGGGAGCCGTAGCACGGCAGCGTCAATGTTAGCTAAGCAGATACGCCTCAAGCTTGTGGCCGATGAAGATTCAGATATCCCCCGGTCTTACCGTAACATCATGGTGTCAATTCACGCTATCACGACCTTCAAGTCACTGGACGATTATTTGCGCCCCAGGATTAGCTTGTCGGATCGTCCTCACGGAGCCTCTAGGCGAGATGCTGTGACTAGAGCTTTGGCTGCCATGGGTGCCTCGGGCTTTATGGGGGCGGCAGCAGCGGCAGCCCGTCTCGCGGAGAGAGGATTGCCACCCTCCAGCCGATCAACCCCTGCACCGCCGCCGGCGGCTGCCCCTGCTCAAGCATCTGGTTCGCGGTCTTCACGCAAGCACAAATCCAAGTCCCAACCTACTACCGAAACTCCGACGACGCCAGACGCCTCTACATCCAAGGAAAAGGGTGGCTTGCGACGCTCCGCTCGTAAGCAAGCTGCATCTGATAGCTCTCTCCCACGTCAACCTCCGGAGGAGGACGACCTTGAAAATGCGCTTGAATGTGCCGACGAAAGGCAGTTGTCGGATGATGAAGACGAGGCAGCCGATAGTAGCGATCTCAACGTACTGCGTGATTTAGATGAAGGCATGGACGATGCTCCCACCCCCGACCCGACAGCTGTGAACATGGAAGTGGCCGCCGGCGGCAGGATTACCGCGCGCAAGGAGGACGGGACCAGAGTTGCCACTCCGGGCCAAGGCAAGCCTGCACCGCCCCCACAGAACCGAACAAGCGCCCTGACGGCGGGATTGCAAAACACTCCCACGCCTCAGGCCGCGTCGAGGCCTATGTCATATTCTGGAGCTCTTCAAGCTGTTCCTCAGGATTGGCACATAGAGTTCAGCGTCGACGGCAAGGTCATTCCTAATGAGACTACGATCTACCGAGCCGTCCATAGCTCTAGCCTCACCGCCGACGAGCACGTTACCAGAAGCATATGGTCCGCCGTCCATCCGATCAAGTTTAGACGTGTACCTGGCCCGCCTCCCCCTGAACCCGTTGGCTTTAGCCCATCCTCTGACGTCGGGGTCGAGGCGGATGAGAACGGCACTCCCGGGTCCTTGGCAAAGCATCCCATCACTCTGTCGATTCTTCGTTTGCTAAAGCGACTCCATGATCTGAACGCCAATATCGACGAAGTCCTAGTCGAGAATAGGGAAACCCTGAAATTGAATGTTGAGCCTTTGTCTCAGTTTGTCAACACTAAACTGACCGCAAAGCTGAACCGTCAGCTGGAGGAGCCTCTGATTGTAGCGAGCAACTGCTTGCCCAGCTGGAGCGAGGATCTAGCAAGGCTTTACCCCTTCCTGTTCCCCTTTGAAACTCGCCACCTCTTCCTTCAATCTACCTCATTTGGTTACGCCCGATCAATGGCACGCTGGAACGCGCAGTCTCAGGAGGAGCGCCGAAACGGCCGAGATGATCGGCCCTACTTGGGACGGCTGCAGCGCCAAAAGGTCAGGATTTCTCGGTCTAAAATTCTTGAATCGGCAGTCAAGGTCATGGAGTTGTACGGCGCTTCGCAAAGCATCCTGGAGGTTGAATATTTTGAAGAGGTGGGAACCGGATTAGGTCCCACTCTTGAGTTCTACTCGACCGTTTCCAAGGAGTTCTCCAAGAGAAAGCTCAAGCTTTGGCGGGATAACGAGCTCAATGGGGATGATGATTTTGTCTCTGGACCTACTGGGCTGTTCCCCCGGCCGCTGAGCGATGAGTTTGCTAGCTCGGAAGAAGGAGAAAAGATCCTGCAGCTTTTCAAGGTGCTGGGCAAGTTTGTCGCCCGATCCATGATTGATTCACGCATTATTGATATCAACTTCAACCCCCTTTTCTTCCGCGTGGGCGACTCGACTGCCACACGGCCTACGCTTGCAACCATCAAATCGGTAGACCCGGTCGTGGCTAGGTCGCTGATGACGATCAAGAAGTTTTCGCTGGCCAAGAAGGAGATTGACGAAGATCCAAACCGGAGTGCCGTTCAGAAGGTGGCGGACACGGAAAACATCACGATTGATAACTTCAAGATTGATGACCTTTACCTCGATTTCACCCTTCCCGGCTACCCTGAAGTTGAACTTGTTTCGAACGGATCCCAGACGCGGCTCACCATTGAGAATGTGGACCTTTACTTGGAGAAGGTGATTGATATGACGTTGGGTAGTGGTGTCCGTCGCCAGATCGAAGCTTTCCGCAGTGGATTTTCCCAGGTGTTCCCCTATTCGGCCCTGAGTTCTTTCACGCCTGATGAGTTGTGCACCCTTTTCGGACGGGTAGATGAGGATTGGTCGCTGGAGAGTAAGTTGACTAGGCATCCGAGATTGCACATGACAGCCTTGCTAACCGTTGGTTTAGCCCTCAACGACTCGATCAAGGCGGATCACGGATACAATATGGATAGCAAGAGCGTTAGGAATCTCTTGCAGATCATGAGTGAGCTCACGCTAGCAGAGCGCCGTGATTTCCTTCAGTTCACAACCGGAAGCCCGAAGCTACCTATTGGAGGTAAGCAGCACGTCTATCTTGTATGGCTGAACAGAGTGATGGCTAACTCGGACATGACAGGCTTCAAGAGCTTGAACCCCATGTTCACGGTTGTGTGCAAGCCCAGCGAGGCACCTTATACCTCGGACGACTACCTGCCAAGCGTGATGACGTGCGTCAACTACCTCAAACTTCCCGACTACTCGGACATTGGCGTTTTGAAGAAGCAGCTCTTCACTGCCATGAAGGAAGGACAAGGAGCATTCCATTTGTCGTAAAAGGGGAAAACAATGAGAGCAGGTGGACATGCGCCTTGAGCTTGGATGAGCAGTAGGTATTCGCCCGCTGCTAGTTTCACCTAACATGTGCCTGTGAAGATATACGGTTTTGGGAAGTGTTTTACTCTCGTACCACTCCCCTCTGCTGTACCTGCCTTTGTTCTTTTTCATTCAATTAACGCGGGTCAGGGAAAGACATAGCATGAACGGTGTGCGGATTACTGGTGGAAATGTCAGATTCTATAGCTGAAGCCTGAAGTGTTTTTATGCAGTTAGTTCATGCTTATTAGTTTGCATTCTGGACGGTGTGCAGGAAACAGGAAGACGTTGATGGGAGGATGATTTGTTGTTTTGCCTTTTTTCTTATCATGTCGTGTTGAGTTTCTTCACCAGATAGACTCGATCCAGGTGCCTTTCTTTAGAACAGGTGTTGAAGGGCAACAGAAGAAACAAGCAACTTGTGAGCGAAATTCGGGGGGTGTTGTTTTCTGAGCGTTACAGCAGACGAGGGCGAAAATGGTCATGAGCGATAAAATAAAAGCGCAACAAGGAATGGAGATGGAGCAACGATAAGAAGCAGAAGAGTGGCTGGCGGCAGGACGCAGAGGGGTGGTGATGGTGGTGACGGGTGAGGAGAGGGCAACAAGACTCGCGGGGAGCAAGCTTAGACCATCAAGGTACTCAAAACTGGATTGGACTGGCAACATGGAAGTGGTTATTAGCATTGCTGGTTAATAGTGTAGTGTGATGTTTAGACTGATAGGCAATCAAAAAAGCAACATGAAGGCCACGGCCATTTTGCTATGAAAAGAGATTCATAGATGTACTTGGAGTGGCAATACTGCTCAGCTGTTCAAGAGTACTATGTACGATGTTGGTGTTAGAGAGGCATCACCAAACCTGATGATGTCAGCTGTAGTCGGTGATACAGTATTGGTGCACTAACACAAGGTTATAGTGGGGACCCACTTTGTAACATGTGCGAACGCGTGCTGTACGCGCCTGCTGACCTCCACCTCCACCACCACCAGCACCACCACGACTATCCGATGCCGCGTCGTGTACCTGGACTCCTTGGACACATACCTCTACTTTTACATCCAGCCAGACCTTAGCTATTCCAATTTGTCCCGGATTACGCTTGAACATTCATATTTCATATACATTCAAGTTGGCACGCCACTATTGACCACCATCACCCGCCGTGGACAACCAATCGCCAGATAGGGCACGGCGCCCAAACTATCCAGACCAGTCACAATACCTGACTCTTCAATACGACGACCGACATTCCCGGTTAAAACATATTGATCATTTCAACTGGCAAAAAGGGTCCCTCCGAACAAGGAGGCGGCCAACCAGACCGCCATGGCGCCCCAAACGAGAGCTCGAGATCGCCTTCGCCAGACGACATCACGCGAATACCACTCGTCACCCATCCCGCAACAAGTCCACTTTCCTGCCCGAAGCCGAGTTGTCAAGACATATGGCAAAAGAACCCCTTCACGAACCGCTTTGCGACAGCAGACTTTGACCCAGATCGGCTTCCCTCTGGCCATGCAACCAGACACCGACGGCTCCGAGCTGTTGGAAACGCTCGAAACACCCGTTCCGGCCAAGAAGAAAGGACGAGACTCCAAGCGAAGGAAGACAATGGGCGACACTCCCAACCCGAGTTCATCTTTCCACACCCAAACACTTACCCAGTTCCTGTCTGGCAAGGAGGGCGACGAGGACGACAAGGAGGACTTGTTGATTAAGGACTCGCAGGACGAAGGAGATGATGAAGACGAACAAGATCATCTGGACGACGTGTATAATCTGCCCAAAGAGGAGTCACCGAAACGTGAATCGCAAAAGAAGCCAGTGGCCAAGAAACCAAAGAGTGTCAAGGGGAAGAAAGCCAAGGCCAAAGGGAAAGCAAAAGCCAAGGAAGAAGCATCGGCAGTACCGCACACACCCAGTACCCAGAGGATCAAGGTCAACATAGATGAGGTCCCATCTTCGCAACCAACACCGTTCACACCCATGCTGGGAAACAGTGAATACAGTCCTATTGGACCCTACAGGTCACCTCTAAAGAACAAGTCGACTAATACCGGCGCGCCCGCCCCCACACTCGAAACCATCTCCAAACTACCCAGAAATCTGGAAATCCAGGACTCCTATAGTATAGGAGGTAGTAGTCCCTTCTCCATACATCAATCACCCTCTCCGCTCAGGAAGACTCCCATGTCAATCAGGAGTAAGCCCAAGCGTCAGCCACTAGCCGAACTTCCTGTTCCTGAGGAGGGAGACGACAATGAATCGGGCTTCTCAGAAGGCGAGGAGCAGGCTACGCCAACAAAACCGAGAGCTGGGTCATCGGCAGTGAAGGGAAGCAGCGGGAAGAAACGGGCATTTGTTGAGATTCCAGATTCGGATGATGACCTTGAGAGTTTTGGTTCATCACCTGCTATGAGCAGGATCGCGAAGACGCCCACGAACCAGAGAGTTATAGTGCCCCCGCCGGACTCGGCAAAGGAGAACCGTACTCCTAAAGAGCAGCCACATGCGGAGGAAAATGAAGAGGAGAAAGCAGATGAGGAGATGGAGGAACAGGGTACACCAACGCCCACGGCTAGGCGCAGTGAGCGGCCTCGGGAGATACCATCATCCAGCGCCGAAGACATGGACTACGATAGCGACGAGAGTTCCCTATCACCAGTGCTGAGTAGTTCACCGCAAGCGAGCCGCGAGCTCGGAAATTCTAGCCAGCATGCTGCTGTCAATCAGCCCATTCCGGACACAACACATAGCAATGACCAGTCGCACATCACCCGCACCCCGACTGCGAAACAAAAGGTGCAAATTGAGCTGCCTTCCATGAGCGACGACGGCAATGCCACCGGCGAAGAGGTGCTGAAAGAGACACCCCATCGCAAGTCGGCTACCACTAAGAAGCCATCCCCGCCCTCCGCCGCCGGCCGACGCAAGGTACAAATCGAGCTCCCACCCCAAAGCACCGGAAAGGCAGCAGAGAAGGATCAAGACCAACAGGCCGAAGATGAAGAAGAAGAAGTCCTCAAAGAAACCCCACACCGCAAGACCACCCGCTTTTCAAAAATCTCCCCTCGCCAAAAGGCATCACCATCTGGACCCATCATCCGCTCCCAGCGCTCCCAACGTCACACCCAGCGGCAAACCCAACGTTCCCAGCTCTACAGCCAGGGTCTTGAATCCCAGCGAGTCCCCATGGAGGTCATTCGCGCCATGGGCCCGCCCACCGATACCTCTGACGTCATCATCGTCGTGCCGGCTCACCATCTCGAGGAGATTGTAGCGGGCACGCGAGACCACGAGTTCCGCCCGCATGTGCTGCCTGCCGTTAGGGCGTGGTTTTATGCCACAGAGCCGGTGAACGAGGTGAAGTATATGGCTACGCTAGGAGATGCAAGGAAGCCGGGGGAAATTGAGGGGGCGAGTGGGGTGGGGAATGAGGAGTTCAATAGGGGTGAGAGTGTTAGTGTTGTCCTTGGCATGAGTGGGAGTGGGAGTGGTCGTGTTGTTAGCAGTGGGAGAAGTAGTAGTGAGGCTGCGGCGACTACCACGCCCAACAAGTTCGCGCACAAGCTCTTGCAGGTGTATCAGCTCAATGATCCGGTCAAGAAGGATGAGTTGGAGGAGCATGGGTTTGGGAAAGGCCTACCGACGAGGTATCGGCTGTTGCCACCGGCGGCGGTGGGCGATTTATTGGCAAATTTGAGATGTGCGCTTTTTGCGGAGGATGGTGAGGAAGACGGAAAGGATGGGGAAGATGAGGGAGGCAGGCTTGAGGCTATTGAAGAAGGAGATGAAGAGGGTGAGGAGATGGGTGGGACGGTGGAGGGGGCAGGAGAGACGACAGACAGTCAACCCGACCATGGGGAATCTGTCTCCCAGCAGCTGGAGCAGCAGTTGAGAAGCGATATCATGCGCTCGACGCAGATGATGCTCTCGGATGACGCGAGACCCCCCGGCCAAGGAGGAGCACTGTTACGACACGATTCAAGGATAACTTCCAGCCCACAAAGACCTCCTCCTGCACAGGTGACTTCGAGTCAAGGTCGGACAACGAGGTCTAGTCAACCTCGGATGACGGTGACCAAGGTTACGAAGAAACAAGTACAGGTCACAAAGAAGTTCCACTTCGCGGCGCTAGAGATGGAGGAAGATGACGATGACCTTGACCTTGATCTCGGCAAGGAAGGGATGAAAACCCCTCCTCCTGCCCTGCCTCCTCGCTCACGGTCAACTGTAGCTTCAACTTCAACTTCGACTTCAGCTTCAAAAACCAGCGCCGGCCGCAAAAGCAGCGGTAGTCGCAGTAGTCAGGCTATTCAAAGCCAATTTGAAACTGAGACACGCCAAACCCGTCGCCAGAGCCAACGTCTAACGAGTAGTCAGCTTCAGCAGGAATTCGACGAAAGGCAGATTACAAAGACAAAAACAACAACAAAGGCTTTACAAGAAAAGGCCTCAATGCCACCACCTCCCTCACCTGCTAAACCCCGTGGCGGTAGTAAAATCACTACGAGCGCCCTTGCTAAACTCAACAAAGCCACCACTGCCCGCGCTTCAACTATCGGTTTCGGTGCCGGTCATAACAACCCCAATTACAACACCGCCCGCCCCTCGCAAGCGACGACCGCCAGCGGGCCGTCTAGTCCTATTATTCCGACCAGGCCGGAGGAGGACGAACAGGAAGAGTCTTCGCTGCCCCAACTCAGTCGGGGCAGAGGCGTAGTTGGTACAGGTAGAGGAAGGGGTCAAGGTAGCGTCAGAAGTCAAGCCCTCTCCGAATCCGTCACCGCCTCCGAGTCCTCGGTTATTAGACCAGCGATACCTGATGACGTTGATGATTCCCATATTCTGTTGTCTTCTTCTTCGATACCGGAGCCTCTGGATTTTCATCATGGAGAAAGTAGTAACAGCACCACGCCTACTGGCACGAGGAATCGTACCAGAGGGGGGAGGAGAACTCCTGGCAGTGGTAGTGGCAGTGGTAGAGGAGGCACGGAACGGCTACCAATGAGTTCCCAAGCTCTTGCGTCTTTGGCCCCGGATAGCTTGTTGGTGGATGTCGAGGGGGTTAGGCCGCCGCCTGAGTTGGTGGCTTGGGATTCTGAGGAGGATGTGGATGAAGATGAGACGGCGAGTGAGGATGACGGGGACTTGAACTGAACCATTACCTAAGAGTTCTGAGGGGGTGGGTCGGTGTAGGTAATTTGTACCCTTAATGAATGGAGTTGGAACTGGTTACGAACAGGTCATCAACCGGTTACGAACCCAATGGAAACAGGTTATGTTGGGATATTGTACATGTTGGAAACAGGTTGGGAAAGGGTTGACAAAGGGTTAGCGAAGGGTTATGATGAATGGGTGCCTTTGTGATGGCTTGGGTCTCTGGTTTGAGAACCTGTATATGATGTCGTATGTGCATGAGGACGGCTAGTACACCTACGGTATGTAGATTCACACGCCAAGTATTGTGAATATCATCCAAAAGAAGCAGAATGCTTCCAGCTGTGTATACAAGTCATGTACTTTTTATATTATTATTTCAATCATACTGTTTCGATCGATCAGTCGCATTAGTGAAGCCAAACCCCCAAAACCATCTCTCAAAGGCATCATAAAAAACAACATCCTTCCTATTTTTCTCTTTCCATCTTCACCAACCCCACCCTCCCTCTCTTCCCTTTCTTTCCCCCACATTCATTTACAAACCTCCCACCAATCCAACAACCAAAACCCCCACCGCTCCCATCGCTCCCACTACCCCCGTAACCCCCGTAACCCCCGTAACCCTCGCAGCCCCAGCAGTACTTGTCGACGTTGTCGATGTCGTCGTAGCCGTCACCGTAGCTGTGTCCACAACGGCAGCAGTAGTAGTAGTACTAGGCACCGTGTGCCAAGTTGATTCAGTAGTCGTAGTGGTGGTGATGGGCACCAAGCCATTGTTGGCGTCAGTGTTGGTCTGGATCGTAAATACGTCTTGAGGTTGGCGGGGGTACATGTTCATGTTCATGTTGTTGTTTGGGAGGTTGCCAGAGGCGAGGGTGGTTGTGGGTGCTGCTGTTGCGGCGAGGAGGAGAGGAAGGAGGTGGGAGCGCATTGTGTTTATTTCTTCTCTCAAGAAGGGGTTTTTTTTTCTTTTGGTGAAGTTTTGTTTTGGTGGTATGGTAAGGTGTGTAGGTATGTCCAAGATCTTTCTTGTAGTTGGTTGTCGGTTGTTGTATTGAAGTCAGGCCAAGAGGAGGGATGGGAGGGGGAAGTAGAGACGTTGAGGCGTTTTTGGTGATTGTATTTATCAATGACTGACTGGACTGGGTATTCTGGTGCTTCGAGGTAGTTAAGAGAAACAAAAAAACAAAGTGCTTTGTGTACTGAATGAGGGGTGGGCTCATGGAATCGTTATATACACCTTCCCCCTCCTCTCTTTTTTCTTCCTTCCCTTTCCAGGCGTCATCATCATGAGCCCACAACCAATCCCTCTGGAGTCTGTCACCGACGATGAAAGAATCTCGAACCCTGCTACACTACCTTGCCCTGCCGCTCTGCTGTGTTACCGTTAGATCTAGCTGCCTATTTGGGAATAGGTGCCTAAAACAGCTGAGTTGTAGGTGTAAGATCCCAATGTAACGCAACGAAGCAATGGGAAATCACGAGCGACTGATATCTGTTTGATAGGATGACCAAAAAGTTGCTGTTTGGTGCATTCGGTTTGTCATTGGATTGGGCTGGACTGCTGTTCAACGCTTTTTTTTTCTGACCAGTGAAATATCATAGGACAAGGCATCTTTGAAACGTCCATGCCTATTGTAACATCGTGAGCAGCCCCACTCCTTGGACAGACGCTTCGCTAGATCTCATGGGGCTGAACAGCAAAAGCTTCCTGTCGGGCCAGAGGGGGGGTACTGGATATTCGCAGGGGTAGCGAGGCGACCTACTCAGCAGGGAAAGAATTGAAGTGAAACCGCCGACGAGCTCTTCATCTTCTCTATGGTATGCGAACAGCACGGTAGTCTAAGATGAATTGGGTGTTGACAAAAGGTGCTGGAGAAGACTGGGAAACGATCTTCTAATACCAAGCCGTAAGGAGAGGTTGACGAAAGAAGCGGCGCGGCAAACAATACTGTAGAGGTAGTAATAGGTAAGCTCACCGAACAGGAACTCGTGACCTTACCTACTCAAACCATATCCGTCTTGCTACTTCTTCGACAACCACGATTACAAGTTACCTACATTATCTCTATTTCTTCCTTTGCTGCGACTCCATATCAATCATTGTCTACAAAGTCAAACTAAAATGGTTTGAATCCACCTCATGGTCTCCTTTATTGCCCCCCGAGTACCCTCTAAAGACACCAAAGCCGGGCAACACGCCAAATAATAATAATATATATAATATGCATTCCAAAACCCCGAGATTATTCATCGGGTAACTACAACAACATTTCCTCTCTCCTTCTGACCATCTCAACTAACTCACCCACTCACCTTCCCGCTTGACTGAACGCACTCTTCACCTCCGCTCTCGGCCACTCCCACAACACCTCACCGCCATATACCTCGGTCGTAATCTTTGCCACCCTTATGTCCACCTCGCCGTAGAACCTCTCGCACTCCTTCAACACCCTCATCACCAGACCTCTGTTACCCCCACCCACCACCCTAGATCCGTTGCTACCAGTAGTAATCGCGCTCGCGCCGTCGCCACCGGGGGCGTCATCATCGCCGCCAAAGTGCTTCTCCACTCTCTTCCTCAGCGTTTCAATACCCTTGCGGACTTCCTTCCCATCATACCCGCTCAAGACTTTGTTGAACGCGGACTTGGAGGTATTCGTCTGCGCGGCCACAGCGCCGGGGTTCTTGCCGGCCGCCAGCTGAGCCTCGACATTCTCGAGGTACTCGAGCAGCTTACCCAACGGTCTACGCATGACAGTGTTGGTGTAGAGGTTCAAGTGCTCTGCGAGCTCCTGCTGGGCAGCCTCGCGCCAGTCGTCGAGCACCTCGAGGCCCTTGGGGTTGTCGACCTCCTCGATGAAGTGGTTCATGTTTTCAATGAGCAGGATGTGGAAGTTGAGGGCTTCCTTGTCCTCTTCCGTGTCGGCGCCCGAGGAGCCGCGCAAGCTGCTAATGTTGACGCTGCTGATCATGGAGGCAGCGCTGCTTCCGGGGAAGGACGGGAAGCTGGAGTTGCCGCCGCCACCGCCGCCGGTGACCGGGAGAGCCACGGCTGGGTTCTCGCGCGCAATGACCTTGAGCGAATCGAACATGGTCTTGATGATGCGGTCGTACTCGCGGTCGATCATGCGGCGGACGGTAAGGTTGCTGGCAGAGACGGGCGATTCCATGGTGTTGCCGACGGCAGCAGCGCTAGAGGAGAGCATGTTCTCGACGGCCGCAGAGAACTGGGGGAAGATGCGCATGAAGTGGATGACGCCCTTGCGCTTCTTGATCTTGACCTTGGTCTCCTCGATGGCGCGCACCTGCTCGTCGACAAACTTTTTGAACTTGCCTTCGAGGTTACCATGAAGCTTTTGTAGAACGGTGTTGAGGTAGTCTTGGTTGGATTGGCTGATATCGGCCATCTTGCGCTCCAGCGTGGCCAAAACACCAACTCCTTGTCTAATGAAACAGTCAGCAAGAAACATCACATAAAAGACGTAAGCAGACTTACAAAGGATCCATCATCAACACCCAGTCCATCAGGTTCTGCAAGTTCTTATCAAAGAACATAAAGATGACCTCCATGGCACGGGTGATCCTGCGGGCCAGATCACGATCCGGTTCCATCATGCGATGGCGTTTGAGATCGTTTCCGCGACGGTCCTGAGGCCTGGACGCAACCACGAGATCGGGGAAATCGACCTGCTCCAGAGTCGAGGCATGGAAAAAGTCAATGACAAAGTTTTGCTCCATCTCCACCAGGGGAAGAAGATCGTCCAGAACGCCAGCAAACGCTTCGTAAGGGAGAGCCCTGCTATCCAGAGTCTTGTCCACAGCAGTGCCGGCTTTTCCTTCACCGACCTGTGAGCGGAGGGTTCTCGCCAGTGTCTGACTTCGCTTGACGGTAAGCTTTCTTGCCGTGTTGGCAAGGCCTTCGTCCTTCTTATCTTGTCCTGAAGTGAATAGCAGTTCGGCCGTCTCTTCGCCCGTCATCTTCCTCGCGTTCTTCTTCCATGAATCCATCGCATCCTTGAACTCGGCCCTGTAAATCGGATGGCTGATGTCTTGGTATATCTGCATAATGCGGTCCCAGTTGGCAACATCGACTTCCTTGGCGTAAAGAATAAGCGGACTGTACATCCAGAGGATATCCCTGCCAGCTTCATGGTTACGAGGGTCGACCTTCTTCGAGAGCGCGTTATCCAACGCCATCTTGGTGGCCCGGAATGCATCCTCGAATCGTCGTGCCATGAACTCGGTCAGTCTGCGCATGAACATGGTGCTCTCTGCCATGTACATCTCCCTCTTCTCCTGAACGATGCGCATGTTTCCATAGTCGCTGTTGAGGCCCATGGCTTGGCCACCGCTTCCATCCTCGCTCCTGCGTCCTTCGATAGCACCCATTGCGGGATCAATCTTCGTCATGGCCTTGAATAATGCGACAAGGGCTGATTCAATCTCCTCCACGCCGGTTGCAGTCTCAAGTGGCGCAACCTTCAGAGCGGCGAGATCCGACTCGCTGATGGCGCATGTAGCCAACAAAGACTCCAATTCCTTCTTGAGTAGCTTCTGGTTTGCAGCCTGGACCTGGAGACCTTGGCCTTGGGCTTCGATATAGGCAATATCGTCCGAGAGTGTCTGCGACATGTTAGCAACCAAACCACGGTGATATGAGCGTAGTAACTTACAGATAGCTCGACACTGTACAGTGTAAGCAAGTTATCAAGCTCGTCACACTCGGCAAGCGCCACGTCGATGCCCTTCTTGATAGCATCCACCCTCTCATCCTCCTCCTGGAAGCGCGCCAACCAGCCGCCCGCCTGGGCCTTGCTGAGCTCGCGGTCGACATCGATCCTCATCTCGTCAAAGTTGCGAGACCGCATCTGCTTACCGGGCACCCAGCCAAAGTAGTCCAGCCATTTGGCAAACTCGGTCGTTTTGGTATCGAGGATAGAGGGGTCGATGCCGAGTGAGGTAAGGTACTTGATATCGTTGCCAGCAACAATCGCCCGCCGCGGTTCCTCAGGCTCAAGCGCTTCGTCCTTCTTCTTGTCCTTGGGCGCATCCTCCGCCTTGCCCTTGGAATCTGTCACCTTCACCTCGGGAACTCCAGCCTTCCCATCAGCTGGCTTTGCCTGACCAACAGGGGCCGCTTGATCCTGCTTTTGCGGGGGAGTTGGCTTGGGAGGTGCCGGGACAACACTAGTGATGCCGTCTGGCCCTTCGGGATTTTTGGTCAAGTTTCGTAGACGATCAGCTGCACCGCCAGGCCTCGGCTTAAAGGCAGACGCTGCCGTTGCCGCCTTCCAGATAGCGCCCGCAATCTGTCCCCTGGACTTTTTGGATTTGATCATGGGTCCGAGACCCGGTCGACTCTCCTCGTCCGTTCGTGGGGAGTCGGTCATGGCCTCAGAGATGGGTGACTTGATCGAAGCGCTAGGCGTGCTCACGGTGGGACTAGGAGCCACGCTCACGGGGAGCTCAATTTTCCTGGGTTCGATGGGTGTAACCACTTGGTCGGCCACAGGTGGGGCAGGGGATGGCGCCCGCTGCGGCTCGTTTTGGGTGAGTATGGAGTTCTTGCGAGGGATCATACGATCCACACTTCGCGGAGGAGGCAGGACCGGGTCTCCCCGTCCACGTAAACCAGGACTACGTAGAGCAGGACTCATCAACGGTGCTGGAACCAGACCGCTGTCAAGCTGCAATGGGCGTAGAGGATCCATGGGTGGTCGCTTCCTCGCCGGAGCCTCAGCCGGTACAGAAGGTGTCGGGGCCGTGGCGGGTTCAGGAGTGGTAACTTTAGAGTCTCCAGTACCAGCTCTAGATCCTGGACGGAGACTAGAGCTATCCTCGGTTCTTGTCGCCAACGAAGGTGCCCTTGAATCCTGACTCTGGTTGGAGTTCATCCTCCGCAGCGGTAGTTGCTCCTGCGACCTCACATTGCTTGACTCAATGCTCCTGGATGGCGACGGTCCCCTGTCTTTGCTGTTGGGAGCCAAGTTAGTGCGGGAAGGCATTCTTTCGGGAACCGGGCGGCTAGGAGGAGGTCCAGGAGGAGGCGCGGAGGGCGGTGGTCCGGCGACTGGAGGTGGGAAGGAGCCATATCCAGATGTTGCGGAGACATTGCCGCTACTAAGAGCAGGGTCCAAGATGCCGGATCGCGAAGGAGGAAGATCAAAGGTAGCAGATCTCGAGGGAGGGTTGTCCAAGGGCCCCGATCGCGAGGGTGGTTTATCGAATGTGGCCGACCTCGAAAGAGGAGGGGTAGCCCCTTGCTGGTCGATCTGGGTGCCGGATCTCGAAGGCGGGCCCCTATCTGCTGGTCGCCTCGGCGCCTGGGCACCACCCAACACTTGGTCGAGTTCGCGCTGGTCGAAGCCTATCAGTCTCGGCACGCGGCCGCCAGTATACTTGCCGAAGATCTTGATCAGACTGGCAATGAAGAACTTCTTCTCCTTGTCGGTCTGGGCCTGCCAGTAGTATGGCTTCCCCAGGGTGACGATGAAGCCCACATCGCCGGCCCACTCACGGAAGTTGGTGCTGGCGGTCGGGCTGGTGAAGGACTCGATGTCGGAGAGGTCGTCGAGGAACCATGTCTTGCCGATGGAAAAGGTGCCATTGGGGTTCTCCTTGGACTTGTGTAGGCGCACGCGGCCGGACTTGCGCACGGCGACGATGATGATGCGAGGCTTTTCGGTATTAGGGGTTCGTGCCTGGGGCGGCGGGGGCGAGGTCGGGTGTGTCGAGAACTCGGTGATGCGGATATGGGTGATGTAGGTTTCGATAGCTAGTTCATCATTGTCAATGCCTTCTGTCGCCTTGTTCTTGTTATTGCTTCGTCTTGTGGCGTGCCTACTGGAGCCGTCCTCATCTCTCTTGTTGAAGCAACTCTCGATGATTCTCCGCTTCTCGTCCTCGAATCGTTCGGCCCTGGTCATTTGGCCGCTCATTGTGCAGATAGTAAACGGGAGTGTAGTCGGGAGGAACGCGGCTTGTCAAATGATGGGACGCGGTCGCTAAGGTAGTAGGGTCGGTCGGGAATGGCGCTACGTATCGCAAAGTCGAAGGCGTCGTGACATCTTTTAGGGGAAATAGCACTTGTAGCAGTTGCCTGTTTCGATCGTGAACCGGGAATTGCTCTTCCGCCCGGTGCCACAATCGAATAAGTCGGGTTCGGGACCGAGATCCAGGGTTGTATTATTATAGGTATAAGTAAAAAAAAAAACAAGAGGTGGATAGGTAGAGTAGAGCAACTCTCAAGCAACAAAAGGACGAGCTGTGAGGTCAATCGGTGGTCGGCAACATCAAGCTGTCGATGCCGTTGTCAACCTTCAAAAGCGGATGTCTGTAAGTGGAACGGAGCCAAGCACAAGGACGTCCAGGAGCTTCAGTGCTGAGTGCTGTTCAGATGCCAGGCGACGAAGCGGTGGTCGACAGGGCAGGCATGGGTGGGGACCTGGATGGAATGGGGGTGGCCCCGCGGCGCCCGAACGCTTTGTCGGCCAGCTGTTAATGAAAACCAAGCCCCAATCACCATAATCCTAACAGTAGCTAACACATCCTGCTGATCGATGTGAACTTGCTTGAAGCTTTTGGAGAACTACCGTCACAACAGCGAATTCTATACGGTGTGAAACCATGTTTTTGGGCGAGAGTGTTTCACGTTAATTGCGGTATCTACATATTCGAACATCAGCATGTTCAATGATTCAAGCGTGCCGCTCTTATGTTTCTGTTTGTGATGTTTACCAAGTACGTAACTCATCATCGAAATAGTCTCTGGATAATCACGGAACGACGGGTGATGCTATCGATATGGAGCGAGGTCCAACAAAAGCTTGGCAGGGTATATCGCGTCAACTGCACCAATAACATATAGCAGGTCCTTAGTCGAAGGTGATCTTCTTGCCCTGGAACGGTGCCGACAGCATCTCCTTCTCCTTCGCCTTCTTCTTCGCCTCCCATGAAGGATGCAGCGGCCCGCTATCATCACGCTTCTTGGGCGCCTTGGCCGGAGGAGCAGCAGCAGCAGCAGCAGCTCCAGCACCGCCCCTACCACCTCTGCCTCCGCCGCCACGACCCCTATCACCACCTCTCGCCGCAGCAGCACCTGCACCTCCTGCCCGAGCATCACCACCCTTTTCTTCACCACCCTCTTCATCACCACCCTTGCCCTTATTTTTAAGGTCAAGAAGACTGCCCTTCTTCCACGGCTTGCCATCCGAAGATTCCACCGCACCCCTCTTCAAATCCCAACCGTCGTCTCTGGCCTTCTGCTGCTTCTTCAGATGCTTGGCCTCCTCCTTGTACTTCTTTTCCCAGATGGCCTGGCGGGCGCGCTGGCCGCGGCGGTTCTTGCGGGGAGGGGCGACGTCGACGTCCGAGGCCGACTCGGAGCCCGAGATGTAGCCGCCCATGAGGGTGGGCAGGAAGGTGGAGTCCATGGTGAAGTTTTGGAGTTTTTCCGTCTTGGCGGTTGATGAGGAGGAGGACTTGCTCTTCTTTTTTGAGGGGGCGGCGTCGATGCCGCTGTTGTCCGAGTCCTCCTCGTCATCGTCTTCTTCTTCGGGTCGTTCTTCTTGGGGATTGGTGGCGGATCCTTCGTCCTCCAAGTCGCTGAACCCTTCAAATTCGTCGTCGGAACCGTCGCCATTTTGTTCCGAATCGCCGTCGTCGGCTTCGTCGTCGGTAATTTCCATGGGGTCTAGGTCTCCGTCATTGCCGTAGCCTCCATCTTCATCATCTGTAATCTCCATCGGATCAAGCTCCTTTGCGATAGGACGCTTCTTGACCGCAGCCTTGGAAGCAAATCTCTCGTCATCTTCCTCGTCATCTGCGTCCGAATCGGAAGACGAGCCACCGAGCAAGTCGTCGTATTTGGAGAGAATTTTCTCTTCCTCTTCCTCATTGACTGGTTTTTCGTCGTCGTCGTCGTCCAAGTTTTCTTCTGTTACGGCTTCCTTATTTGCGAGCTTCTCCTTGGTCTTTGTCTTTTCCTTTTCCTTGTCGTCCTTCTTCTCCTTCTCCTTGGACTTCCTGTCTAGCTTGTTGTCCTTCTTTTCCTCCACCTCCTTCTTATCCTTGGCCGTCTTGTTGTCTCCATTTGTTCTGGCCTCGTTGGTCTTTGACTCGTCCCTCTCCTTGTGCTGGTTCTTGCCCTTCTTGCCCTTCTTCTCAGGAGGCTCGATGCCCATCGCCTTGCATATCCCCGTAATCGCCTTGTCTGTGACGGTGCGGACCTCTTGGCGAGCGCAGAGGGCGCTCGTAACGTTGTGCAGCGCAGTTCGTTCTTCTTCGGTGAGCACAGGCTTGGAGACGCCGCGCTTCACGGCCTCGGGAAGGTTGGGGCATTCGGCAATGCGCTTGATGCGAAGGAGGGAGAAGCAGAGGTGGGCATGGGCGGCCTGGTAGAGGTCGAGGGACTTGAGAACAACAATTTCATTTTCTATCCTGGCCTTCTTGTCCTGTGGTGTGCTTCGGTCGTGGAGTCGCTTGGACTGGCGCTGTCTCTCAAAGCCTTTGGCGGTCTTGAGGGCGTGGTGCAGCTCGCCCCAGTATTTGGCAAAAACCTTTTCGACGTCATCCTCCTCGCTTCTCTTTCTTTTTCCGAGGGACTGCATATTCGTGATTAGGATGGCTCGGGACGTCCCGTCGCAAATCGAGTTTGGTTGAGTCGAACTGTCAATTGGAAGTTGGGGGAGCTTTGCGCCTGCAGCAGAAGTGCAGCCATCGGTTGTTGCACTTTTCAGTGGGGCCGTTGTTGATCTCGATGCCAGCCGGGAGCGGCTCAGACCGAGGAACCAAGGAAAGGAGCATGGGCCACTTGGCGAGCCGGGCGAACCAAATCAATGAAGCCGAAGAGGACTGAAGCTGGCAGCTCGAACGCGTTCACCAAAGATCACCCACCGTGACAGCGCCTGGACAGCCCCCCCATCCACTGACCGGGGGCTATCCATCCACACCGACGACACAAGCCAGAGACAACAACAACATGCATCGACGACGACAAGGTCTTTCTCCTAGCTTCACATCTCCGATCCATTGCGGTTGCTGTCGCCAATAGTCACAGAATTCTCGCGACCGTATTTTGCCGATTTTCAGTCGCACAATCCAATTCCTCGCTACGCGTGCGTCTTTCACATTCCGTCTTGCGCCCAGCAAAACAGTCCGTCGCTCTTGTGACTGGCAATTGATCACACACCACCATCCGCGACCATCCAGACCGAACACTCGAGTTCACAACCACTCAAGACAAACTCGCCATGGCATCTTCACAGCGCACGATACAATACACCATCCCCGGGAGGGAAGACTTTAACAAACTGTCCGACGAGCAGAAAACGCGAGTTGGCGAAGCTGTACGTGCCAACCTTTCTGTCTTCTCCCTCCTTTCCTTTGTTTACTATCACCCCTGCTATTTTTGCCATTCACATACATGTCATGTTGCTGCGCAACCGCTTTCCCTTCTACGCCCGACCCGCACCACCACCCCCCAAATACCAACCAGCTAACACCCCTTTGCCAACTCGTTCAGTTCGACCTCTTCGACTCCAACAAAGACGGCCTCCTCTCCTACGAAGAATTTCGCTTCGTCCTGCGCGCCCTCGGCTTCGAGCTGCCCAAGGCGCAGACTTTCGACTTGTTGATTCGCCACGGCCAAAAGCCCGCCAACTGGCCGCTTGACCAGGAGTGTCCGCCCGTCTACCGGCTCTTCAACCTACCGACGGCGCAGGCGATCGCGGGAACGCTGATCCGGCAGCGCGACCCCAAGGAGGAGCTCCGTCGCGCGTTCAGGCTGTTCGATATAGATGGCAAAGGCATGATCACGCAGGACGATCTGAGGAGGGTGAGCAAGCAGGTGGGGAATAACATACCGGATGCTGATATCACGGCCATGATTGAAGAGTTTGATGCGAGTGGGAAGGGGGGAGTGGATGAGGATGAGTTTTTGAGGTTGATGATGAGTAAGAAATGAAGCGGGCAAAGAAGAAGGATAAAAGAAGACGAAAGAGATGGTGCTTTTTTGCAGATAAAAGTCATGTGGAATGGTTAGATGATACCCGAATGGAGGCATGATGGACAATGAATATTTTTGTTTGGTTCTTCTTTGGGACCGCTCTTTTCACGCGGTGATCGATCTGTGGTTGAAGGGCAGGGGAACGGGGAGGGGATGGGACTGATGATAGGGTCGCAGGTATCGGACGCTCAACGTCTTGTTCGATCCCGAAAGGCAAGTCTCGCCCTCTCACTTCTTTCATCTATATCTTATGGCTTCCTGTTGCCAGCCACCCACATCCGAGCAGCATTCGACACGGCGCAATCAACCCATCGGCGGTATTTTTCATTGAGCGGAAGGCTCTAATCTCCAACTGTCCTTCCAGTTGACTCACGCATTAAGTTCCTTGCGCTAGAGCAGGAGTCGAAGTGCCATAATACAGCATGAAGTTAGTAGCCAAGGTCCTCATGGCCCCCAGTTGACGTTCAATGACTGTACTGCCGAATATGGTCTGAGCCGCATCGCAACAAGCGGGATTACCCAGATACATCCGTTTTGAGGTTACAAAATCAAGGGGTATCAACAATGTTGCAGTTAAAAGGGGCGGACGCAGCCAGAGCGAACCTAGGTCGTCGACCTGACCCTCATGAATACCTGGAATTTTAGCACTCCAAGTCAGTTCACTAACATGACGAGGACAGGAGCTTTTCGACTCGAACACTGATCCCTCATGTATTTCCGGCTCTTCGAGTGTCTGCTGCGTTCCGATCAAAGCCTGACTTGCCAACCTCGAGCTTTGCGCTAGTCATCCATTGTGTGTTTTTTAGTAACACCTTTTTAGGCATCATTCGACTCTTGGCCCAGGAAAGCACAAGATAATATATTTTCGCAAGGTACTACACCTTGTTGTGAAGATATGATGACTGTGTGAAGCATTGAAGGTCGGATGCACACCAAGCCGTGTTCAGTTAGTGCCAGATACGCGACGACGCTGGAAGACGTCAAGCATTTCACGATGCTCGAAGTCGGGTATTTCCCATGCCGTGACTGATGTGGGGTCATCCTTGATATGCCTCTGGTCCCTGTGGAATGTGATCCTACATCGGACGGATCGCTCCTTCCTCTTCCCAAAATACACTCAGGTTCTACCCATTTCTAATGGCCTGCAACGGCCCGGCAAACGGACCGTCAAGTGGAATCAGCTGAGCCCATAAGACACTTCACCTGACGGAGCGGGCAGGAGCAAACGGGACAAAAACCTCCAACAAAGCAAGAGACGGGGCTGTCGTGCTAGCGGCCCTTCCACCTTCTCCCCATCATCTCGCATCTCCTCCTCCTCGTCTTTTTCTGGTCGTCCACGACCAACACCACGAGTAGACGAGCAAAATGCTACCCCTCCCGCTGAAAAGCGAGTACCTTGGGTACAAGAAGGACACCGACGCAGTGGCAGCATGGCTTGCCTCGACCGCAAAGAAATGCGGCTTCCCTGCCGACCAACTCAAGTCGGGTTCGTGGGACACCTCGGACACTTCGTCACTCTCCACAAAGTCCTCCAGTAGCGGCCGGAAGAAGGGCAAGGCGCGCAAAGCGGCCAGCGCAGCCGTTCAAGCCACGAAGAAGGCCATTCACGGTGTCTCCAAGTACATTGTTGCCATATCGGATTATCCCAAGTTGGCAAAGCACATTGCCGACACCGCGGACCCGGCCATTACCGTTCCCGATAACTTTGTGGTCACCATCAATCGTGTCATCTCCAATCGCTCCGGCTTCGGTGAGCGTTTGGCTGAGCATGGTGTTGGACCGGACACCAAAGGCGATTTGAAGCATCGCCACTTTGTTGAGGTCCTGAAGAAGGTCCGAGAAGCCCTCCTCCCTCGCATGTCTAGCAAAGCCTCCACTTCGACGAAGGTCAAGGCTGCTAAGTCGGATGAAATCAGCAACAGATTTGCTGGCCTGGCCGTCGAAGAGCCCTCGCAGGCCTTCCTGGATGCTCCTGATGTTGAGAGACCCACCCAGCCGACAGAAGACAAGACCATCTATGAAGCTGAGACACTCGCTGAGCTCGAAGATGTTTTGTTCACTTATACCATCATGATGAACGACCTTGCCCGCATCCGGGCTACCATCCGCTGGATATGGGAGAACTACCAGAAGGGCCTCTTCGATATTGCAGCGGCAGCTGTTGCTACCGACACCGCTCTCGCTTTGGCCCGCGGTATCATTGACGAGGCCGAACCTAGCTTCAAGAACTTTGAGGGGGCTACCTGGGGTGTGCAACACAAGTTCTTCCTCGCTTGCTGTCTTCGCAAGGGCTACAACATCAACAGCGTCTTCTCTGACGATGCGTCGGATAACTTCAACTACAACATGTATGATCTTGCTGATGAGTGCTTCATCAACGCTCATCGCTGTCTGCTTTCTTTCCTCGACGTTCTCTCGCCAGACCATTTGCCCATTATCAGGGAAGGCGTCTTGGGCCACTATGATCCCACCAAAAACCGGGATAACCTGCCTGGACACGCAAAGTTCAAGGAAGATCAGATCCTCCTCATGGAGTTTCTGAGCGAGCTAACGGTTGTTACCCGCATGATTCCCAGCTATCCCGTCGAGGACGAATTCATGCGCGGAGTTCGAGAGATGGACAAGACAAGCAAGATTCCATTATCACTGGTCTTTGCCGCCCAGACCTTCCTTGACATTCATCACCTGCTACGAGTCGATGTTTCGCAAGGATCCAAGTTCATGCAAAACGAGATAAAGCACCTCAGTCAAACCCTCAAGGATCACCTCGACTATCACAAGAAGAGCAAGTTGCGGATCAAGAACTGGCCCGAACGCATGGATGACATGCTGCGGTTGGTGATCAAGCAAGGGCAGGAGATTGTGGCGGACCCCGTCTACCAGTGCAAGGTTAGCTACTATCGCCGAAACAAGATACCGATTGCGTCGTCTATGAGGCCGAATCGAATCCTGGACTACTCCCCAGTCCTTGCCGGCCTTAACCTGCTCAGTTACCGAGGGGATATGTACTCCATTGGCTTCGACGCTGCAACCGCTTGGGGATCCATCCAGTATACAACCCATCTCTACTCTGCGCTCCAGAATGAGAAGCTGGTTGATCCTCACTTCTGGCCAGACTTGGAAATGGCCCAGGCCCTTCTCCCTGATTCTAGCTTCTTTCCTGGAGGAATCGCCCCGAAGACTCGCAAGAAGTACCTTGAGACCTTCGTACTCCAGATGGGGGCCGCTGGGGTCCCGCGTGGTCTCAAGAAAGGCCTACCAGTTTCATCCATCTTTGTGGAGAAGTATCTGAAGCGCACCGAGGTCCCCTGGACGCCCGAGAATATCCACGACATTGTTTCCCGTAGCGGGTTCGAGGCTAAGGGCGAACTGGGCAAAGGAAATTTGCTCATGTGGCAGATCGACGAAAAGGACCAGAAGGATATTGAGAAGAAACAGATATTGAGAAGAAACGTACGTTGGAGGCCAAAGGCAAGAAGCGCGAGGAGTACCTGCGACCGGATGAACTCATTCAGGCGGCAGTCATGGCTCTCCACGAGGAAGTTACGGAGATGTCGTTCCCTTGGTTGACACTCCACAAGTCATGCTGGGAGGTGATGAAGCTGGTCAAGGAGAAGAACCATCAGCGTTTATCGCAGATCTTTGGTAGCGGCTACCTCAATGACAAGAGCCAAATGCCGTTTGTGATTGGGTACATCTTCATGACCACGTGCGGCGAGTGTCCCGGCCATCTGAGGACCATGGACCTCATGGAGCAGGCCGCGGAGGCCGTCAAGGAGTATGTTACACGGGGATCGGGAGATCTGTGCTTGAAGCTGTTTGCGGAGATGGGACACCCTGTCCAGTTCGTCAACGAGGATGAGCTTTTGGAGAATAGTGTCTAGAAAAGGGGAAAGCCCCATCATAAGAGCCATACTGCATAGACATGGGAAATATGTAGCATAGCATGGTTCTTATATGAAGGGGATCAGATTTCGGAAGATATGTGAAGCTAGACAGAAGAAACCAGTTCATAGCTGACACCTCGTCGTTATCTGTAGTGACCATGATCATTTAATTATGACAAACCACAGTCTGCTTCAACGCCGATTGCCTGAACATATCTCACAGTGGTCATTTCCTTCGTCTTTGGTTTCAGCTCTCATGCCCCTTATCGAGTTTGAAGCTGAGGGTAAAACGGAAAAGGGAATTTTGATGCTCAAGAACATTGACGTGCAAGATCAAAAAGCGCATCGTGAAGCACGATTTGTCGTGGGCCACAGGCGACAAAAAGTAATGAGTACCAGCGACTTGATCCAGGCCGCGGTCATACTCTCCAGGCGAAAACCCTGGAAATGACGTTTCCTTATTTGATCCTCCATGTTAATTGCTAGAGCATGTTCTTTATAACAGCCACGATCATTGTCTGACAGCTTCGGCTCCATCGAGAACCCTGAGCCAGGCACCCTACATCGATGGCTACGTCTTTATGACGTGGGCCGGTAATAATGGCCCGCGAACGATCTCCATGGGGAAAAAGGCAGCTAGCTAGCTGAATGCTGTCAAAGAGTCTATGACGGGACATTCGTTTCTACCTACCTACATAGGTAGTCTCGAAAATTCTCAGGACTGCCACGGAATACCCTGTCGAGTGTCTCCCAGGATGAATTGGACACCGAGGAGGTCCAAGCCAAAACTAACAAAGCCTGATTGGTTGCCACACGACGATGCACGGTGCCCTTCTTTCGCCTCACAGGTAGCTTTCGAACATACTCGAGGCCTTGGTTGGTTTTGCCTTGTTACTAAGGCGGGTTAGTTGTTCAAGTCTACCTAGGTGGTCAGAATTCATCATTCTCATGGATGATGACGGATGATCAAAGTGTACCTGTAATAAGGTGTTAGAACCAGTGAGTGTGACTTGACGAGCAACAGACTACCTCTAGCTGATGATCACTTAAAGCGCAAAACTGATGCAGATGTAGGCTAGGTAGGAGATATAAACACATCCTGGTAAATAGAGACAAGAGAGAAAAGAACCCCGTCGTGCTATACTAAACCTATCATCGAGATAGGACGTATGATAAGGTAGTAAAGTAGTAAATGATTATACCTAACCACTCCATCACCCCAAGCTAGGCAGCTACCTCTACCGTCTGATCTAAAAGGGAGGAAGGAGGTGCTATCAAAGTTGGCTGGTCTATAAAAACCCCCATCATCCCGCTCGGCCGTCTTCCGCTTCCAGTTGTTTCTCAACAACCCAACCAACATCCATTTGACAGTCACTCCAGGCGTGCACTCATATAATATATACCTCTATGTAAGTCGAGGCTATCGATCTCCTTTGCCCTACCACGATGATTGTCAGGTGATCATCATTTCCGTTTTCATTATCATCATTATCATAATCACTAACTTGGCAATTACCCACAACAATAGTACCACCACCCCATTACAGATAATACATAACAACAAACCAAATTTACCCCATCATGACAACTCCCATCTTGACCCCCACACCCATCTACCGGGTTTGCGCCCTCATCGAGCTCAAAGGGTCGGCCAACATCCGCGACTGGAACCACTTTCTTCGAGTGGAACTCGACGCCGAAGAGCTGACCGAATACGTCTTCGGTCCTACTAGCGCCGTCCCGGAGCCGAACAAGAACCTCGACCCCGTGGCACACAAGGCCTGGAAGCTGGCGCGCGCCAAGGCCATGAGGATTCTGTACACGACTTTGAAGAGGGAGACGGTGACCAACAGGCTCGAGGGCTACGGCTGGGACGAGGATAACAGAGATCCTTCCTATGTTCATAAGCTCGTTTGGAAGGTTTTTGGGCCTGGAGCTCCCTCCATAGGCCTGGGCGGACTTTGAGATTAGGAGGATCACTTTTCAAACAGTTGGTTGATGAAATGCACAATCAGGCAAAGTCAAGCCTTTTTAAACAACCTCTTAAAGTAAGAGGCACTCTCGATTTCAACAACCACAGCCAAGCTATAAAAAGCCATCAAAAACATGACCTAGTGTAGACCACGCACGAAATCTGCGTGCGTGTACTCTTACTGTACCCAAGATTACATGTAAATATCCAAACAGATAATCCCGTTTCCGTATCCTTCTTTCGTTTTGCCAAAAGAGAAATGTCCAAAAAAAAAAGCCAAAGAAGAAAACGAGCGCCAAATGACATATGCAAAGAACTTTCTATGTTGTTGTTCTCGTGTCGTTTGTGTCTCTCACAAAGACCGATGAGCACACAAGAGTCATCCATCATTCCAAGTCCAGGGGGGGATCCCAAAATACAAAAAGCCACAATAGAAAAATGCTGATGGAGAAATTGTTCATCGCAAGGAAAGCATCGCGCCAGGCACCGCTTTAAACGACAGGGCCAGCCTTGATGACATCCTCAGTAGCCTCGCTCTCGTACTTCTTGAAGTTCTCGAGGAAGAGACCACCAAGCTTCTTGACCTCGGTGTCGAACGAGTTGGCACCAGCGGTCCAGGCGGTCTTGGGGTTGAGAAGCTCCGAGGGAACACCGGGGCAGCTCTTGGGAACCTGGAGGTTGAAGACCTCGTAGTTCTCGTACTCGACGTTGGCGAGCTCGCCAGAGTGGATGGCGTCGAGGATGGCGCGGGTGTACTTGAGCGGGCAGCGCTTGCCGCCCTGGGCGAAGCCGGCACCGACCCAACCGGTGTTGAGGAGCCAAGCGTTGGCGTTGTGGTTCTCGATCTTCTCGGCGAGCATCTTGGCGTAGCGCATGGGGTGCAGGGCCAGGAAGGGCTGGGCGAAGCACGAGGAGAAGGTCGCCTGCGGCTCGAGAATGCCGTCCTCGGTACCGGCCATCTTGGAGGTGTAGCCGGAGATGAAGTGGAACATGGTCTGGGCCGAGTCGAGCTTGGAGATGGGAGGGAGCACGCCGCGGGCGTCGCAGGTGAGGAGGATGATGTTCTTGGGGTGGTTGGGCGACAGGCAGGGGATCTTGGCGTTGGGGATGTACTCGATGGGGTAGGCGCAGCGGGTGTTCTCGGTGAGGGTGGCGTCGTCGTAGTCGACCTCGCGGGTCTCGGGGTTAAAGACGACGTTCTCGAGGACGGAACCGTAGCGGATGGCGTTGAAGATATCGGGCTCCTTCTCGGCGGAGAGACCAATGGTCTTGGCGTAGCAGCCACCCTCGATATTGAAGACACCACGATCAGACCAGCAGTGCTCGTCGTCACCAATGAGGCGGCGGTTGGGGTCGGCCGAGAGGGTGGTCTTGCCCGTTCCGGAAAGACCGAAGAAGAGAGTGACGTCGCCATCCTTGCCTTCGTTGGCGGAGGAGTGGAGGGTGAGGATGTTGTGCTTGACGGGGCCCTCGTAGAACATGACGGTGAAGATACCCTTCTTCATCTCACCGGCGTACTCGGTACCGAGGATGACCATCTCCTTCTCGGCAAAGTTGATGGCAACGGAGGTGGAGGAGGACATGCCCTCAGTGTAACGGTTGGCGGGGAAAGAGCCGGCGTTGTAGATGGTGTAGTCGGGGTGGAAGTGCTCGAGCTCCTCGCGGGGAGGGCGGATGAGCATGTTGCGCATGAAGAGAGCATGGTAGGCGCGGGCGCAGACGACACGGACGCGGATGCGGTACTTCTCATCCCAGCCGGCATAACCGTCGACGACGTAGATGCGATTCCTGGTGTTGAGGTAGTCGACAGCACGCTCGCGGTTGATCTTCCAGACCTGTAGTTGAAGAGAGTCAGCAAGTGGTGACGATGAGGGTGGCCACGTGATCTGGGATCGCCGTTGGCCCGAGTGGAGAAAAAGGGGTTCGGTTGGTGCGGGGAAGGCCGAGTGGTTTCCCGAGCGGGAGCGGGGTGCATTGATGGGGGGGCATGCATCCGAGGCTGTGACCTGATTCGGGGACAAGCGCTGCGGGTCATGACGACAGCCCAGGCGAGAGCAGGGGCGGGTCAAAGGGACCCCACATGGCGCCGGTGCACACCGGCTCCAAAGTCGCCAAGAACAATGACGTGAAGCCGTGCTCTGCTTGGCAAAGTCCATGGTGAGGTCGGCAGCCCTGCGGTGCACTTTCCACACAATCGCCTGTTCGAGTGCGAAATTGGTCTCGTGTGCTTGTGCAACCATCCAATGCCAATGCCGCCGCCAATGGATGCATTAGAAACGGTGGAGTGCAACCAACCAACCAACCAACCAACCAACCAACACCTTTTCTGGTCATGCCGGATGTGTCAAAAAAAGTGCAAGTGTTTCTTACCTCTGGGCTCATGGGCTTGTTGACAGGTCCCCACCTATTTGAGAAATCGTTAGCAAGTCTGCTGTGAAGTCGAAAGTCAAAGACAGAAACGACAGATTCAAACGTACCAAATGTCGTTTTCTGATGAAGGCTCCTTGACGATACGCTTATCTGAGGGAGAACGGCCAGTCTTCTTGCCCGAGTAAGCGGTAAGAGCACCGCTGGATGTGATGGCAGTGCCCGTCTCATAGACGAGGGCATCTTCGTAGAGGGAGGCGACTGAAGGGTTGGCGATCTGTGGAGGGTTAGTTATGCGTCCTTCCAGTAGCATGGCCATTTTCAAAGAGTCCAACTTGGAGCCAACAGGCGGTGCATATGCAAGCTCCTTCATGTTGATATCGAATGTTGCAGTCTCAAAAGGCAATGAGGAGAGAGGGACGTACAATAGCGACTCTGTCATAGTCGATGTGAGCTTTTTGATGGAGCTCCTCCTCTAGTTCTGTGTGCTCGACATGGGGCCTGTTGAAGTCATCGTCAGCACCTCTGGCCAGGCAACGAGTCGTGTTGCCATGGAGATTTGCTCACTTGACACCACCAGGGTGGAGGTTGGTCTTGTTGACGTGATCGTGGTTGAACACTAGACGAGACAAGTGCGGTTAGCCATGGTGAACTCGTCAAAGTCTCTTGTGCAGTCGGGACTGCGTGTGCTTTGGGCTGATAGAGACGAAGATATGACGACACTTGGTCATGAGGGGCATTCATTGTATGCAATGTGTATGTTGATGTGTATGCGTGGGCATTGTCGAGGCTTGAAGGCTGGCAGTTGGGGTACTTGCTGTTGGATGATTTATTGTTGTTGTTGCTGTTGCTGTTGTTGTTGTTGTTGTTGTTGATGAAGCTAGAAGATGGACCAGACGAGAGACGTTGTAGTCGAGGGCATTTGATGTTGGGATTAGTGTAGGGAGAAGCGGTTCTGATGACGGGGTCGCCCATGGTACTTATTGTTTTCGACGCGGCGGTTTGCAGAGGCCGGACGACTGGAAAGCCAACTCGGGAGTGGAAACGGTTACGGGCTCGTGGTTGAACGGTGACAGGGGATGCGGGAGCACAGCCGGAGACGACAACGACAAGTAAGCTGGAGGAGGATCCAATTGGTGAAGATGGAACATGTCCCAGGAGAACCCGAGGTGAAGGAGACATGGGATATAAAGATGTGGAGACCAAAGGGTAGCCGATGCCCAATCATGCGTGACGTCTTTGCTGTGAAGGCGCCTCCAACCCCGGAACAGGAGCGGGTGTAAGTGGAATCTAACGGGCAGCACGGGGCAGGACGGAGGCAGACGGAGCCAGAGGGTTGCAGGGCGGTCTTGACGCTATGGGCGGACAGTTTCCTGTCTGGGCTGAAGACGGTTTCCACGAAGACTTTCCGGAGCCAGGCCTCGTCCACCCTTGCCCCCCCTGTCGTCCTTCGGGAATCATCAGGGCGATGCAAATCAACCACAATTACACTAGATCGCTGCTGCGAACTGTGCTATGTACACGACCGTACGCATGGTGGTGGTGTTTCATCAGGGGTGCAGCGACGTGGTTTGTTGAACGGTTATTGCTGGATGTGGTCAAGCCTGGGTGCGCTGGCGTAGACAATTACTGTACGTACTTAATGTCTTGTAAGCTGGCAATCGAAGTCCAGTTTGCTAAGTATCAGCCTTGACGTTCGTTTCTTGCTGCTATTGAATATTCTCAGGCCACTGGATATTGTTCGATGTAGGCACGGATTCAATGAGCAACTCTCTGTATCAAACTGTCCATGAATTTCACACTGGTCTTGCATCTCCTACTTTATTACCCCGTCTGTTTAACTTGCACAAGATTCCAGTGTTGTTGGCGGTAGTTGGTCCGAGCCTTGGCCATCCTGTCAATGTTCTTGGCCGTAGCCCGAGACAATCTGTTTCGTGTTGCAATGACTACCATTCCGAAGGATGCTGGTACAGTGTAATTCCTCGATCATGTTGTGCTTTGGTTTCAGTTGAAGGCCGACGTTGGATTCGTGATTGTACGCAGCATGTGCAAGTGGATAGTGAGATGTGCGACTCGGAGACGGTGTAGGGAAACGGCCGCTGTGTGCAACCGTTGTATGTACATGTACCGACCTACATACATACCTCTAGGTAGTTGCTGGCCAGGGGTTAGGGGACGCGCGGTGGAGGCTACAGGGAAATTTGGGCCTGCCAAACCGGGAATCAGAGCAGCGCCTAACAATTTACCAGCATTGTTTTTAGAAGCTGAAGTGGAAACCCGTAAACTCAGCTAGCTCTGTTTTCGATCTCTGCTGGGCACATGACACCCTCTCCAGGCTATTACCGTCATTTACGGCTCAACCTAGCCCGTCACCGTCGTCAAGGTGAACTTTTGTTTCCCTGCATTTGGCGCCCAGGATGTTGACCGAAGCAAGCTGCCTGTGTCAAGTATGGTTATGCTTGCTTTGACGCTGTCGACTCCCCTCGTGTTCGACTCTTTGATTAGGGGCAAAACTTACTCCGAAGGATTGAAGAACAAGCCAATCAAGTGGTGAGAAATTGGGAGAGACATAAAAGAGCAAGAGTTTTGGGATGACTATATCCGGTAGTAGGGTACCGGTTCGCCAATTTGCGGCTCTACGGTGCTGCAAGTTTTAGTCACTGACACGGTATCGCAGGCCAAGAAATCGAGATGGCGACACGCTTTGAACAGAGAACCCGGGGCTTGGGAAATACCCAGCCCTTGGCAGCAGCCTGATATTCTGGAGAATTCACCATGCCAAGCCGTGGTTTGGGGAAACCTTTGCGGAAGGAAAGCCTGACCGGTGCTGGTACCCCGCAACAACCCGCATTTTGTGACCTCTTCTTTCCTTACCCCGGCATTTGTGAATGGGAGAATGGAGATTTTTTGGGCGTCCATCTCCATCCGAGCGGATGCGCGTGGGACCCCGCCATTTCATAGTGACAGGAACCGACCACTTCAGGTTCCCATCTCCATCCGCTCTTCCGGTTTTCAATTTCAGTCCATGATACGCCTGAACAGAGTTTCCCTTTTCCTCCAAATTTGGAAATAGGAATACTCCGAAAAGTTTTCGGAGTTGCAATCCGTTCTCCCCTCGTTCCAATATTATCATCGGGTCAAATCGCAGATAAGACGGTCGATAGTGAAAAGACGACATGCTGCTGTTGCATCGTCGTTCCAATGTTCCACTCCACTCTCAAAGGTACCTGACATGCGTACCTGAATCTCGCCAAGCCGTGCCCCGCTCAATGTCACCACCAACCCACGTTTGTTGTCATGTCGTTGCCGACGGCGGGCATTCCGTCATAGGTTCAGTTGACGAGAACAATCGGCGGCACCGTTTTGGTGTCTCTCTTGCTCTTCCGACTTTGCCCGAAACCCCCTTTGGAAAACAATAACCAAAACCGACAGTCTGGGGCATGCAGCAATCAATTCACAGTTCATGTGACGTTGGACCCAAGACAATCTCTTCTCTGCCGGCTTTGACGTGGATGAGTGTGTTAGGATGTGGTGTACTCTGGAAGCAAAGCAACTGGATCTCTCTGGGCGGCCTGCTTCGAGAACACGGGCAGAACTCTCGGCATTGTTAGCGCATGACTTGGGATACCTGGGCAACTGCGTGTGGGTCTTTACGTAACTGGGCAACCATCGTGACTCCTTGTGGGAGAAAGTGGTTGTAGTTGTTGTCCTGGAAACCCCAAGGTGACTAATAAAAGTAGTATTGGAGCGCAATGGAGTGCAATGGGGTCGAAAACGGAGCCCATGATGGAAACGGTCAAGATGCAAGGCGGGCATGTGATCACCACTGAATCTGGATGTTCGGGAACTATCGTGTGCTACTGTACTTGGTTCAAGAGCAATGTAGAGACGTATCTTGGATGAAAGGGGCCCTCACCCTCTGGGTCAACAGACCGCATCAGGTCACGAGAACACAGCATAGCAACAAAAGAGAAGCGGTAAAGAGGTTTATTTTGGACTTCGTTTACAGGCCAATGCATACAAGGCTGAGGCAGTGTAGTACACTACATGGGTTCCAGACCGACAGAACTCTGGAAGTCAAAATTTGCGGGCCACGAGAGAGAACAGCTTCATGGTGATATTAGTATTCATCGTGATTTGTTCCGGTGTTTGGGAATATCGCCAAGGTGTCAATACAAAAAAGTGCCCGAAGAGGTGAAACCTGCCACAAGTTCTCGGATCGCACAGCCAAGAACAACAAAAAGTTGAATGCTACAGAATCGACGACGAGGGCGGAAGTTGGCGGGATCGGCCTTGCATTTGCTTCGACTTTTTCCCGACTTGGTCTGGTTGAAGCACATGAAGATCTAGACCCTGGCCTCCCTTGTTCCGGTTTCTTCCATTGTGTGACATCAGCAGCCCGCTGCGAGTCTCCAGCCCAGCTCCGTTGGGCCGGCTTACTTTTGCTGCACCTTTTCGGCCCCGGTCGCTGACTCCCTTACACTTCTGCCGATCCCCCGACATCCGCCGACTCGGGATCCCGTCCAACTTGATCCTCTACACTACACTAAACCTGTGTGACTGTGACTCCACTTTCAACATCAACCTCACCCACGGTAACACCGCCAAAATTTCACTCGCGAATTCACTCGGTAATTTTCAATGGAAACCATCAGTGTCGCGTGCCTTCCTTCCTTCCTTAAACTCGCTTAAGCAACAGCCTGCATTTCGCCAAATCAGCCGATTATCCAGTAACCACTGCTGGACAATACCCAGCCGAAGAACCATTGAAGGAGAGGCGTCTACAAGCTTTTCAGCCTGCGGGAGAGTTACAGTGGCTTGTTTATGATTTAATATCTCTCCCATCAAACAGAATGAAACGCTTTACGTTCGTCGTGATGAGCCTGATTTCGACGGGCCAGAAAGATCACTGTTGAGTTTGTCTCGACGAATCGGTATCCAAAACATCCAGCCGACCGTTTTTACGATTTCCCACAAGAGGGAGCTGCAGGCCAAGTTACCAACTCCGGCAAGAGATTCTCGTGCTGCTCTCCCGTCTCCCACCTATCCAATCCATATTCGTTGAAGCTCGTGCGTCTGTGAACTTCAAAACCGACCGTGGTTGTCGGGACCTCGCTCGGCGGCTACACCCGCATGATCTGAGCTCAGGCACTGAGCCTTGGACTTCTCTGGGCATCGGGGTATGTACATAAAAGACGGTTGGTCCTCGGCCCCAAGAGGCGAACTTACCCCGGATTGGATCTTACCCTGATCCTAGTCGCTCATTGATGACTTGGCTCGTGCCAGGGGGGGAGAAAACGTGGGTTTGCAAAAGAAGATGAACCGGGACCTGCCCAGCTCCATACTTCTCCCCAGGTTTTCCAACCTACGAAAGCGGATTGGACGGTTTGGAGAACGGACGCCGCCCTGCCGCTCCAGCCTCTTATCCCCTTAGGTTTATTTACCCTCCTGTGGCTAGTCTGCTTTTGCCTCTCTTTCCGTACAAGTGCTCTTTAAACAGCAACCGGCAAGTACATACGTAACAGATGCTTCCCTGACCGGCTCACGGGTCCCGGCCACATACCCTACATCGCCACCGTTCATGCAATGTGTGAGTCCAGTTGTTGATGTTCGTCCACCAGTCAGCTGGCTGCCGAGCCGCCGCTATCCGGGAAAACGTCGATCTTGATGGTGCGTACACTACGTACTTATTATATCTAAGACACTCATCCCTCACTCACCTACACTAACGGATCAGACGGCCAGATGTTAGCCGTGATCCGTGAACCGATGAAACATTCGCACCATGAACATGTTATTCCCGTTTAACACTTTCCCGGTGGTTACCTTGCATTGATCGCTGATCACCACGGAACTCCATTCGCATGAAGTCCGAGATCAACGGGATGATTCTCGTCTTTTTTACTCCGGCGTCCGGTAGAGGTAGTTCCCCACGAGCGACAACACTCTTCAATACCGTATTATCCGTCTATCAACCTGTTCCCTCTAGTCCTCGCTCAAACCAATCACGTACCATAAGTATACACTACCTTTACGGAGACATGTACGGTGACATGGTTTATGGAAGCCGTCTACCACCTACACGTCCGTAGACACACGAACACACCATGTCAACACCTTTTCACACTCTACCCAGATTACTTCATCCATAGGTAGAGGTTACATACCTATCTCATCCCTCTAAATCAATTCGAACCGAGCCAGGCGACGTTAGAGTAGTGTGGAGTACCATAGTAGTCCCGGAATGAGTTGAAATTAAAGAAATGCAAGAGAGTACATGTAAGGTTCAGTAGTAATTGCCTCGGGTAAGTTAAACCTTTATTTTTTTTCCTTTTTTGTCTTTCTTTCCTTTTTTTTTTTTTTTTTTTTTTTTTTTTTTTTTTTTTTTTTTTTTTTTTTTTTTTGGGATGTGTTAGCTCTCTTAACGACGGACTGGATTGGTTCTAGCTGACTGTAAACTGTTCGGGCTTCGTGACCAGAATAGATACATAATAGGTAGGTAACTTTTTAGCATTAAACCACCTATATTTCACCTCCTTTCGTCAGGTATTCCACATGGAATGGTGAATATGACTTCGCTAGGTAGAGGTGCCTAACATCATTCTACATGGATAGAGGTATGGAAGAGGTTGCCCCGTGAGAACACAAGAGGTACATGTAGCAAGCTTGGAAATTTAAAATGTCGCAACTTCCTGGGGAATATATCGTCTTTTGCCAATCCAAGTCAGGTTCGCCATAGCGGGTAGATGTTTGTCGAGATACTGGACTAGTACCCAAATCAAGGGCAACATGCCATCCCATAGTCGGGTTCTCGTAAAAAATCATCGCTTCATTCATCATGATATATATAGCAAGTGTTTTGACTGTCACGTAAGTTCGCTTATCTCTTGTTAAAATCCCGGATGCTTAGCCCTAAAATGATTTTGTACATTCTTGGACATATCGAGTTTTCCCACACCCCCTTCTCGACCATTTAAACTGGTGCTCTTCGTGTCAACGACCCTGCCGCTTCAGTAACTGTAGTCTTAAAGGCAACCGCCACTCTCAGACGATCGACATGGAAGCCCTGTATCTTCCTCAATGCTACCGTGGAGTTATGGGTAGGTAGGTAAAACTCGTGGGTCAGGTCGCTGACAATCTCTGGCCCTCGAGTGGCCATACAATTACAGAACCACAAAGCTTTGCTTGTTCGGATCCATGCCAGGGATCTAAATGACAAAGAGTTTCACTTTTTCTCGCGACGACAACAATATCAACGACGGAGAAACTTCCAAAACTCCCAACCCCCTTCAAAGATGGGGTATAAGCTCCTCAGACAGAGTCACCGGTTTAGTGACGTTACGCGGCTCAGTGTATGGATGAATCCGATCCGGCCCTCCCCCAAACGAAACCACCTCAACTGAATAGTCCAATTCCCTTCACAGGCGAGCCCCTGCTAGCCACATGCATGCATTTTGACCTTTTGACTTTGGCCGCATACCACCAAAACGACATTGTGAGTGCACGGCCACGCACCGAACGGCGGGTCTTACCTCTTTCGCGTAGCAATGATCCAGTTGACCCTACCAATCGGCCACATAAATGTCTTCTTTCCGCTCTTCAGCTCCCACTTCTCGATCTCGGCTGGTCCGCCCTCGGCCCCGCACGTGCGCAGCAGATGGGCCACCTCCTCGGGGGTGCGCGTGCGCAGGGCGCTGACGATGCCGTCGGCCACCAAGACAAAGGGGAGGATGGGGATCAGGTATGTGAACACCAGCGTCCAGGGCGCGTGCCAGACGCAGAGGGCGTAATAGGGCGCCAGTAGCATGATGCCGATGCCGAAGAGAATGGGCGGGAGCATACCGAGCAGGGTGCGGTCCTGCAGCTCAAAGATACCGAAGCCGTCACTGGTCTCGACCGTGTTCTTAAGGATGGCGCGTGCCAGTGGGTCGTCGAAGTGGTGGAAGGCCAGGTTGAAGAGCCGGAATACCTTCTTGCCTTTGTCCTTGTACTGACCGACCAGGTCGGCGGGCGCGTTGGCGGCGTCGACAGGGTCCGCGACGTAGCTGAGGTGTGAACTCTCGGCCGCGGCTTTCTTCCAGTCGGGCACGTGTGGGTGGAGGTCCGTGAGGATGAATTGGACTCCGTCTTTTTCGTTTTGTTGGGAGGAGGGCGGGAGAGTGGCGTTTAGATGGCGCTCGATTGAGGGCGTGGGACCGCCGCCGCCGGCGCAGAAGTCGATGAAGACATGGTCGAATACGGCTTGGCCGAGCGTGTCGGAGAGAAGGTTGGCAACAGTTTGGGCGGGGGATTGAGCTTGAAGGAATGGAATCTGTTGCGCGAAAGGCGGTAAATGTGTTAGTTACAATACTAGAACGAGAAGAGGAAGGGGGTTGTGTTTACGTGGGTTGTCCAAGCTATTGTCAGAGCTGCTTGGACTTTTGACCGAAGCCACGGTGGGAACCTTGATGGCGGCCCAAAATGTCAGTTGTTGTGGCGCTCTTTAACGTAGTTGCCAGAACTTACCATGGCTGGTCATCGATCTCAAACAGATGCATCCGGGGGAGTAGAGGCGCCATCGTGTCTTGTGTGGTCTCTATTGGGCTGCAGTCAAAGTTTATTGTCTAGAGTAATATTGGTGCTCAAAATATCGCGAGGAAGAAGGGCATTGTTGGCCAGATACAAAGGTTGCAAGTTTCGGGGGCGATTATCGATAACAGCTAGAGCATCAGCCCAAGCACGTCCACGCATGCAGATGACCCAACGACACGACAAAGTTGAGACGATGCGGAGAGCAGACTCCACATCAACGGAAGCGCTGCAAGAGCAACTGCAACTGAAGTGGGAGCTTCCGTCTCTAGTGCATTGTATGCTGTATGTATGGACTCACAAAAAACCCCAGTACAACTGAAAATAACGCCTGTATTTCCTCCCATTTTGGCTGGTCATTTCCGATGAATCTGGCAGCTTTGTCGCGACGTGCCAGTCCAGCGCATGTGAAAGGGCGATCGAGTTGATGATGTCAATGATCTCCGGGAAACCTTATTCCAAGCTCAAATGGCGTGCATAGGATACCCTCGTCTCTCGATCCGCGTGCGCAGGTACCAGGCTGACTTGGTAGAGGCACAGTGTATTTGTGCTCTTCTCAGTTAGCACCTTGCGATTTCCAGCTTGATACAACCAAACAGTTTGGAGGCTTGCGCAGTGAAAACGTGATGATGATAGATGTGGTAGTGTTTTGAGGATGTGACAATCTCCTTCATCGTGTGGAATACGTAACGGGCCCTAATACACGGATGATTTCAAACAGGAGTTGTTTGAGGAAGGGATAGCTCACAGCCATGGTGGGATTGGGGGCAGAGAAAACATTAACAGATATCCACCAAAAGTTGGACACAACTCAGATACTTGACTAACACTCACTATCAACGCCCCCCAAGCACTGTTTCCTTAGCCGGTGAGAGCCATTCCTTGCACGATCTGGTACGACTGCGGGGCAAGCCGCTATCGAGCTTCAGCTGGGATGAATGCATTGAATCATTCATTGTTTTCGGGACGCTGCAATCGCCTGCAAGGGTTCACAGTTTGGACTTTTCTTGATCTTACGACTTTGCGGCCTGGTGGTCTTTCCTTTTACTTACCCATCAAGGCAACCCCGACCTCTTTCTTTGCTGCTTCCCAAGTTCTCTTCGCATATTGTTGTTATTTTCACGAGGAAAAATTTGATTGACTTTGTGGCCATGTACTCTCAACACATCTTGTGAGCGACCAATATTTCAAGTCTAGAAATTGTCACTCGAGCGTGCACATTCGCGACCATTGCAAAAGGCAACTCGTTGCCACGTTTCTTGACGAGTCGCGGTCCAATTGTCCACCTCCTGCTGGTCCATCCTCCAAGAAGAGTTCATGAACCCTGCCTTCGACATCATCACCAGACCTGCCTCCTACCATGGGTATCATTCACGAGAAGGCGCATTACGTCGTTGCTGTCGCCCTCGTTGCCTTCCTTATACGCGCTTTTGTTCTTAGCCAGTGGAACACCATCAAGAAAAATGGCGAGCGTCTAAAGTAATCGGCCTGATCACTTCCCCTGCTCATCTCACAACAAAGTCTAACAGCATTGGCACATAGGAAACCACCCAATACCCTCCCTTTGGTGGGGAATGGCCTCCAGTTTCTCCAATCCAGATGGAAACTGTTCAGCTGGTTTGACGCCTGTCAACGCAAGTTTGGTTACGAGACGGTTGCTATCTCGGTCCCAACCCTGCCTCCTGGAGTGCTCATTCATGACCCTCGTAACCTGGACTACGTGTTCAAGAATGAGGGAATCTTCACCAAGGGCAATTTCGTCAAGGGCCGAACGTGGGATCTCTTCGGCAACGGCATCATCAACGCCGAAGGCGACTTTTGGAAAACTCAGAGGAAAGCAGGCCTAAGCTTTCTCAACACCGCCAACTTGCGAGTTCTCACGGATGTCGCCCTACCCCAATACCTCTCCGAAAGCATTTCCCAGCTCAGGTCAAGCACCAATGGTACCGTGGTCGACCTACAGCATGTCTTTCATGAGATCACCACTAAACTGATGGGCAAGATGGCCTACAATGCAAGTGTTCTTGGTATCTACCGTGCTGAAAAGGATCGTTTGGACTAACAGACACCCAGATGGCAATGCATGCGGACGACGAGTTTACCGTATCCTTTGACTATGCATCGGGCGGCACTGCTGAACGTTTCCAGAATCCCCTGTGGTTCGTAACCGAAATCTTCCTGGGGGCAGAGCTTCGACAGTCGATCGCCGTTGTTAAGGACTTTGGAAAGCGTATTGTTACCAAGGCCGTACAAGACCGCCGAGAAAAGGGTTTCGGAGAGGAAGAGGGAAAGCTTGATCAAATCTCAGGCAGTCTGATCCAGTCCCTCCTCGATGCCATCCAGGACGAGCAAATGGTAGCCGATGCTGCCTTAACCTATCTCTCTGCAGGCAGAGACACAACCGGCCAAGCCTTGACATGGACCTTCTACCTTTTGATGAGGCATCCCAGAGTCGTTGCCAAAATCCGAGAGGAAGCCACGCAGCTGCTGAAAGAAAAGAATGTTACGCTCACCCCGGACCAGTTCGACTCCTCGCTTTTCAACCCTGTCACCATGCCCTACAGTATGGCGGTGTTCTACGAGGTCCTCCGTCTCTATCCGCCCATCCCCTTCGAGATCAGACAATGCAACGAAGACGTTACGCTCCCCGACGGCACCTTTCTGCCCAAGAGCTCCATCTTGGTATGGTGTCTGTGGGCCATGCAGCGATCAAAACTTACTTGGGGTGACGATGCCGACGAATTCAAACCGGAGCGATTCCTGGACGGAAACAAGCTGATATCAAGGAGCCCATCCGAGTTTCCAGTCTTTTATGGCGGACCGAGGACCTGTCTGGGAAGGAAGATGGCGGAAGCCATTGCTGCACAGGTTATCCCAACCATGGCCTGCCTGTTTGACTTTGTCCCTACTAGCGATGAGGAGAGGACAAGCAAGACCAGTTTAACCCTTCCTATGGAGGGCGGCCTACCCGTGACAGTAGAGACTAGGATCGGGGAAGAGCGAGAGAAACTGGCGCGCATACCGGAAATCAGGTTTAGCGAACATTAAAAGCGACTAGATGGCACTCGTATATAGACGGCTTCAGCATTGTTTTATACCATCATGATACCCATGGGCAAGGGCTTCGTTCTCAGCCCGATGTTTCTGCGATCAACGTTAGTCTTGTTACACGAAGATGCAGCTCAATGTGTTATATCCCGGCGGAAGTATACATGTTCTCTCCGCTCATGCTACACCATATCAAGGGCTTTGTTGACATGAATTCGGGACTGATGCTGGCACAACAGGTTTACATGAGTTCATCAGTTGTAACAGCTTGGCGGCATGCAGCTAATGACCAGAACCTTCCTCCTGGAGCTCCACGATGGGATGGGCTCGTGGATGGCATCGCCCCAGGTCTAGCACAAATTGATTCACAACAGAAATTGATCCCCTATCCCAGAACAACCTAACAGCCCCATCCTATCAACAAATTTCCCATACACCCGGTGCGAACCATGACTGGTGCCAAGTGCCGCGACCACAAAGGCGTTAACCAAGCTCGTGTACGGTCTTTTCTCGTGGCGCGTTTCGTCGTAACACAGACCCAACAATCGCCCGCCGGCACGGTAAGCTTACTCCGATTTGGTTGTCAATAACCTTAAATCCTTATCAGTTGATATTGTGAAAACCGAAATGGGGATGGTTTGCAGGTTCTTTCAAAAAGCTGTGCAACTCCGGAACCGGACAGCCGAGAAAAGAAGCAGCCATCGACGGTAGATGTTCCGACTGATAGGTACACACAACTACTACGAGTTAAAAGACACGTTGACAGTTTTCGAGATTCTGGCTGCAGAGCTCGACTGAACAAAATCAGAATTTGACTATTTTGGACTAGGTACCTTGCCATGCATACCGCTCATCTCCAAGCAAGTTCTATCTTTCAAAGGTTCTTCTCCCGAAATGAGTCGAGGCTGAATTACCTCTCCGATCCTCCCAACAAATCTCAGACTGAATACCACCAGTCGTGATGCCAGCCTTTCCGAAGACAACAGGCAGAACCTCTTCCAACCGATGAGCTCATGGATCCCAGGTCTAGATCACATCATGCGGTAAGTCGAAATACGCAGCTCTGTCCTGCTGATCTCAACGGAGGTGGCCCCTTCCTCGTCTATTTTTTTTTCGGTTCTTTTCAGGACGGAAGGAGCACTCATTTGCAAAAGGTCACGAGTACTTCACCAGACGAACTAGAGGAACCTTGACTCTATCTGACTCCCGGTCCACTCTCTCCCTTCAATTGTCCCGCTCCGAGGAAGTCTTCACTGGGACCACTTGCCCTAACCTCTCCGCAGAGGGCCTCTTTGGATCGTTCTTTTTTATCGTCAAGAGGGCCGCGGGGGTTTTACTGTTGTTCAACTTGGGCCAGCCCTCTCCTTCTTCACTCTCTACCAGGTCTAGTTCTTCTCACCTTCTCATCCTTTGCTTAACTCTCAGGGCATCGTGACAACTCTCCCGGTCGTTGTTCAATCTCCCAACACTCAAGTCCAGCAGCACCGAGACCAGGCCAACACCGTCAAAATGGCTATTGTTCAGTCTCTCCTCAACCTGACGAATTACGCCAGTCCGCTCGAGCGGACGGTCGTCCCCTGTATCATGATCGCTTACGCGATTCAGATTGTCGTGGCCATCCCTTCAATCATCTACCAGTCCGACCGCTTCTTTGACGTCTCGGGGTTGTCTACTTTCCTCATCATCAACATTCTGAGCCTCTACCTGCCTGCCATCAGGGCCAAGTATGGCGGGGATAACCTTGAACAAGTTGCGGATGCAGTCAATGAGGGCGTCCAAGCGGTTACCGGAACCCAACCTGGATGGGGAAGCCTCTTTATGGCACCCTTCAAAAGATGCAACATTGTTCAGGACGTCGCTGCTGGCACCCCTCTCGCCGTTGAATACAACTGGAGACAGCTTGCCTTGAGCGGTGCAGTCACTATTTGGGCTGTGAGGTGTAAGTGACCCCCGAACTTCGGATAGTGGCAGGAAACAATGGCTATTTCTTTACCCACCTCGAGAATCCCATCTGCTTTCCTCGAACTTGTCGACGAGGACGGACAGTCAGCTAATACTTCAACGACATCGTAGTGGGAGTCTACCTGTTCCGCCGCATTCTTCGCGAAGGCCACGACCGCCGCTTTAACGAGATCCGGATCAACCCGCGTCGCTACCTCAGGGCCTTCATTGGCCAGGCTACCTGGGTCATCTTTTGCATGCTGCCCGTTATTGCCGTCAACTCAATCCCTTCCGGCGTTCCTTCTATCCATGATGTCAAGCCCACGGACCTCTGGGGGTTTGGATTGTGGGTTATCGGCTTCGTGGTAGAAGTCGTTGCCGATTACCAAAAGAGCAAATGGCAAAAGGGGAAGCGGGATAAGGCTCACGACGAGCAGTTCCTCACCAGCGGCTTGTGGTCCCAGTGGTGCGTTTTTACCCTTTGACTTCCACGCCTATTTCCTGGTACTAATGCAAGTTGGCCATAGCCGATTCCCAAATTACTTGGGGGAGTCGATGCTGTGGATAGGCATCTGTACCGTTACCTTCGGCGTTCTTCTCTTTGACGACGTTCGGGAGGCTCTGGCCGCTGCCGATTCCTTCCCCATGAGTATCCTTTCGGTCATCTTCTTCTGCACAGTCGGCCCTGCGTTCGTGACTCTTTTGATGCTGAAGGTCACGGGCGTGCCGTATGCCGAGAGGAAGTACGACAAGCTGTATGGCTGTGACAAGAAGTACCAGAAGTGGAAAAAGGAGACACCCAAGTTCATCCCTATCTCCCCTAAGTATCGTTAGACTGTGATGCAACGGGCAGCTCATCGGACAGTCCGAGTGGGGTCATGGAGAGATCTATGAGTAAGACCCGGAGTATAGTCAAGCCGAGGTATATTGTGCTTAAGCTGAGAGGTGAAGTATGAATCGTTATGGAAGCTGTGATAAATCAGACTCTATATACAGGGAGGTAGAGTTAGGAGTATTATTCAACTGGAGGAGAGGTCGATTGAGACTGGGAACGTGCAGTGAAGGCCTAATAGCGGAGGTTATGCATACTTAGACCTTTTGGAGCGTCCTTGTAGATAGCTCTCCTCCGATTTACCACATTACCCTCGACAATTAACTACGTTCCTGAGCAATGATTCCATTCCCCGAGGTTCGCCACCTCCTTCGAAGAGATACACAGAGGAAAGACGGCTTCACCGAGTTTCACAAAGTTCACGCCTTGATAAGAATTACGCAAGAGTAGTTCTAGTATTCATGTCTTCTTCTTCTTCTTCTTCATGATCATGCATACATGCCGCCGCATCTGTCATCATCTACTTCATCTGCCGCGTCAAATAATATCATCCACCACTCCAATACTTTTGCCCCCCTCACCATCAAGTTCCACCACCTTTATCCAAAAATCCATACTCAGCTGTGTTTTCCAACACCTTCGGAAACCTCGCTGTCTTTTCCTCCGTAAACCCCAATTCTATGTGTGTGTGTGTGTGTGTGTGTGTGTGTGTGTGTGTGTGTGTCCAACTATATGTTGACAGATCCCATTACAAAACGCTGTTGGTAAGGTGAATAAATGAATTTGCGAGTGAATCGTCAAGCTTTTTGTTTGCCGGAACCCTCGGTAAGAAGTTTAAAAAAAGATGAAGGTGATAATGCAGGTCGGTAGGTAGTTTGTACGAGAAATGCTTTTCCAAGGGCAACAAAAGTAGTCCCTTTCGACATCCGAGGCTGAGTGGGTGAAATTACGATTGCGAATATCTGGTTGCGACGGATTGTGTGTCCGTAAACCCAAGTCGTCGGCTGGCAATATAAGAAAAGGGGCTTAACGCCTGTTGAAGTTGAGGTATCGGCTCTAGAAGATGGCCACCAACAGTTAGCAAATTGCTCCTCGATTAGATAGTTTTGAAGGGTATAATATGCAAAAACTTACCGCCATAAAAAGAATAATCAAATTGCTCCCAATGAAAGCCAAGAAAATCCCCAAATCCCTCCACCTGTTATCAAAGCTGATCCCCAGTGGCTCATAAAACTGATCGCCCACCTTGTACGCGCAGTATTGACACGCGCTCGTGGCGTTGTTCACCAAGTAACCCGCTCCTCCCCTCTTGAAGAAAGGTTCCATGTACTCCCCACAGGATTGTCCCGCGGGAGCAGTAAAAGATTGCAGCTCGTAATCCTTGCAGATGACGGGCAAGTCGTGCAACTCGGTGACCACCATGCCGCCGATGAGACGAGTGAAAGGGTTCAGCTCGTACAGCCACTTGCGCCAGAACTTGGGCATCTGCGGAGCCGGGATGGTGACGCCGCAGAAGAGGGCAAAGGTGATCATGATGAAGGGGTCGAACTGGCTCGAAATAAAGACTGTCGGGGTCAGAGCGGACAAGCACTGCGCCATGGTAACGGAGAAGACTTCGGTGATGAGCACCATGAAGAACTGATACCCCGCTCTCGAGGATTCCGAGTTCAAGCCGGGCATGTAGTACACAAACACGAAGAAGATGACGGCGCAGAAGATGTTGTAGGGCATTTCGGCGATGACCATGGACGCGGCAAAGGTGAAGGAGTTGTACATCTTTGACGACTGCTCACGGAAGAAGATGGTGCGTTTGATGTGGTACATAACTTCGACTTGGGAGATGACGATGGCGGGAAGGACGGTGACCTGGAAGCAGACGAAGACCTTGTACTGCAAAGATTCGCGCGAGAGGTCGAGGTTGAGGAAGGTCAGACCGGTGATGAGCGCGATCACGGCGTGGGAGAAAACGCGGGTGAATAGGTAGTTGGGCGAGCGCCAGAGGGCGAGGTTGGTCCGGTGCGTGACCACCTTCAGCTGATGCCAAAGAGGGGAAGCGTACTCGCGCTCTAGATCGTGGTTGACCTGCTCACCGGCGCTCTTGCGGGTTTCCTTCATTTGCTGGATGGTGTCCTTCACGTTGGCGAGCTCGGGCGAGTCGGCCCAGATGTCGGCCCAGTCGCGGTCGCCGATGCGCGGGGCGGAGCCGGCGCCGATGGCTTCGAGCATAAACTCGGCTACGTTATCGGTCTCCTTGGGCACAGCACCGTGACGGCTGAGGTAGTCGCTCAACACGCAGGCGTCTTTGCCGATATCTCCAAAGTAGACGCAGCGGCCGCCGGACTTGAGGAGGAGCAGGCGGTCAAAGTTCTCGAACAGGGCGGCGTTGGGCTGGTGGATGGTGCAGAGAATGGCTTGGCCGGCAGCGGCGAGTTTCTTGAGGAAGCGGACGATATTGAAGGCGCTCTGGCTGTCGAGGCCGGAGGTGGGTTCATCCAAGAACAGGAGCAGCTGCGGACGGGCGGCAAGCTCGACACCGATGGTCACTCGCTTTCTTTGTTCAACGGTCAAACCGGCCTCGGGAGAGCCGATAATGGCATCGGCAAAGGTCT